ACAGATGCACTAAAGCCAGATGTGCTTGTGACAAAATATTATAGAGGACTAAAACAAAATCAGTGATTAACATAACATTTTCCCCCACTGGCAAACAGAAAAGCTACCTTTATCCACAAAAATAGAAATCCATATAAAATCAATTTTTAAAAAAATTCATAATTAAATGAACAATATAAAAGAACAATTTACCGTAATGTCACCAGAAGCAGCTAAAAAGATTGGATCAGTTTAATGTGCAGAAAAGCAAACAGGTGGTTTACTGGTATTTTAACTTCAACCAAGCTGCTTTACATGGGAAAATGACTGATAGAAATGCCAAACAGACCCTTTTTTTGGCCTTTGGAGGTCGCCACAGTGGCTCATCTGCCTACATCTTAGCCTTCCCAGTGTCCTACTCTGTCGCACAAACCCTCTGCATGTCTTCTTTCACTACATACATACGTCTTCCCATTTTCCTCCTGCCTGGTTCTTCATCTTCATCATTGTTTGCCCAAAATATCCACTCCTGTGCACATGTCCAAATCATCTCAGCCTTGCCTCTCTTTCTCCCGACCGTTCAACCTGAGCTGTCCCTCTAACATACTCCTTTCTAACTTTGCCCATCCTGGTCACGCCTAGTAAAAATGTGGCCATCCCCAACTCTTGGTTATTTAAAATTGCAGCAGGACCACAATATTTTAGTAAACAGAAAAGAAAAATTAAAAACTAGACATGATATAAATGAGAATAATCTAAAACTGAAACAAAACCAAATAAAAACAATACTGGCAGCGGTCAGTGGTACCCATCAGCCTCCTACTAGATACACCTATGGTATCAGTTTCAAAATCCCACGTCGCCTTGTTCTCAAGTTATTGCATTCACAAGATTTTAAGAAAACTTGACCTCTGAACTCTGTCCTTGAGGTCGAGGCCAATGAGATTCAAACTTGTCCAAGATTTTTAGTAGATACACCTATTCACAAACCTGGAAGTCCAGATCGCCCGTCCACACAGCAGGATGACGACAATACCCTATTAGTCTTTTACAGCTGGTTACAAAACAAACTATGTACAATAATTCTGAAGTGAGAAATGTACAAAGAAGTCTTTAACCTGCCAGCTTCCTACAACCATATCTGTAAAACGTCCAAATGTACCGATTCATCCCTGTACAGGTGGCAAACAAAATCCAAAGGGTCCAATCAGGTCCACTGGATCACTCTGCAAAGTGTGAAACTATAGAGAGGTCATTAATTCTGAATTCACAATGCTGATGCTTCAAAATGGCACCATGGCTAGGAGCCACCTTTTATACAGTTTATGTCCAAAAGGTAAAGCTCATGTTTTCCAAAAGGAGCTTGTCAGAATCCACCCAAAGTTAAGACAAATACATAAAAGGTTTGGACAAGAGAAATAGTTTTGAGGAAGAAAGAGCTAAAGACTCCTACAAAAAGGCAATATGATCATAGACGTTGACTTAGAAAAATCACTTAAATGAGGTTTGGTTGAGGCTAATTCAGTCCTGTCTCAGGCAGCCAAGCTGAAGGACTAAGCAAAGGCAGGTGGAGGAACTGCTGTTGAAACTCTTAAAGAGTTCAGGAATACTTCTTTTCAAACTCCAGCACACAGAGAGGAAGCTTTTCCGCTATCATAAATGTAAGATGAGGAACATGAAAAAGCCAAAAACCAAAACAACTTAAAATATTCACAACTGCTGTTCTGCAGTTTCGAGGCGAAGAAGGCCAGAAAGAAGATCCTTGTTTGAGCTTCATAAAGAAGTCTTCAGCTTCTGTTTGTAGCTGCACAATCACCTCCTCTGATCTGGACACACCACAGAAGCACAGTTACGGGTTTATGTGAAAGTAATAAACTTCTCTGGAAAGTCAGCCTATGAGTGACGTCTTTTGTTCTTCTGCTTTTTACTTTTCATGCTATAGCTGTGACTGCATCTACTCCACAAAGTTTGACTTCCTTTAATTTCTTACTCAGAAAGTTAATCTGATAATAGCGTGACATCAGCAATGCCACCAATGACAGGATGCAATGGCAGAAGGAGTCAAATAGAAAAACACTTGATTTGATTTTAACTTTGATATCCAGCCACCAGATTTCTTCTGCTTTCTGGAAATTTGGCAGCAGGCTAATTCAAGACGTCCTTCACCCCAGTAACATTCCCCAGTCCCTTTTTTGTGATCCCTACGTGTTTCCAGCCCAGATGAGATATAGAATATCTAGCATGTTCTTTTAAACCTCGAGACGGATGCACCCAGGAGGCAACCAAAATTAGATGATTTGACCTGCTCCTTTGAATGTTAAGGAGATTCAAACTTATCACTGTATAAGTTCATGGGGATTTAGCTCTGGCTGTAAGGACTTCAGATTTGATTGTGAGGGAAAAAGTCATCATGACTTTAGAGTAAACTCAACAACACTGTATTTCAAGGATTTCAGAACTGACCCAAGACTGACACTGAGGACACCTTACAGATGACTTTTATGTCACTTATATTAGACAAGACTCTAATGACGATTAGAATCCAAGCTGTACTTTCCACCCTAACCTATGAGACATAAGGGGGTTTAACCCTTTAGCCCTTGAAAACCTATTTAGGAATAACCATTAAAGCTCTTTTCTGAACTGGTTTCTGTCATATTACAGGTATGCTATGAACAAAATGACTAGGTTTGCATCAGGGTGGCAATTACCCTTGGAAAAAATCTTTCATCAAACCACGTTTTTATTGACAGATCCTGAGGTGTCAAAACACGTCATTATGGGCACAGCGGATGTCCTCGAATGTCGTCTTTATGGGGGAAAGAGTTCAAAAACGACATTGAAAGTACTGAGAGAACTTTACAGGGACTAAAGACTAAAGTACTAAAGTAAAGCTCTGTAATTTTTGGTTTTTCAGGTTTGCCTGATCCATAGTTATTAAAAAAAAAAAAAATCCTTATTTATCTTATATTGGGCCCGTCAGCTAATATTTTGCCTGAAATGAGTTGTTTTACTGCCCATACCTTTACGCAAACTTTACTTTAGGCAATGTTTGTGTTGTGAACCAAATCTATGATTTGTGTTTTTTTCCCTGTGTTCTGACAATACTTACAGCTCTTGCAACTCTTGAATCACCACCACCACACCCACCCAAACCCAGCATCACTTGTGTTTATTCCATTACAACAGCCTGGTTCTTCTTTTGTCTTGTTTTGGTATTTTTGTATTTATTTCCAGTTATGTATCCCAGGTCATAACAGCTCATTTCTGAATTCACAGTTTAAAAGAAAAAAGAACTTTGTCCTTGTTTAATTTGAATATTTATCATTGTAAAGCTATACATATGACAGGAAAAATATATTTTAACCACAAAAATAAGTCAATTATAGACTGAAAACTTATGAAGGCTGATCAAACACCTCACTACCCCTCGACCTGTGTTTTTATCATCTCTGACTCTTCGCTGCTCGCCCTCCCTGCAGAGTTATCCTTGAAGCAGGGTTGACGGGACGATGAAATGTTGTGTTGGTATTACAGCAGCAGCAGGACCTCGACCTCTGTGTTAAATCTTTCACAGCACAATGAGAGCTCAGACAGACTAAACAATCAGCCCCACACACACACACACGCACGCACGCACGCACAGGTAGCCAGAGCTCAGCCGCTGGTGGTAGGATAGTATATGTCCTGCACTTTGAGTTCAGTTTCTGCTGCAGTTTCAGTTGTTATAGGGTTTTTAAGCTGGAATCAGAATTGTGTGTTATCAGCCTGATAATTCTAGATAAAATGAACTTGGGTTCATAAACTGGTATCAATTTAAAACAAATGTGGATACATTTTTGTGCACAATTCAGGGTGTTGAAACAGACTGATTTCCACAGATTGCTGTTTGTTTTTAGCTGATGAACAAAGTTTGAAATTTAAATCCTATAAAAGCCACATGAAGGCAAAACAAGTTTGCTGCAGCTTTGTTTACTCAGCGTGGGCCAGAGCAGCTACAGAAGAACAAAGATCAAAAGTAAATATAGAAGTAGACAGTAATCTATAAAATGCGACAGTTCAAAGGGAGTAAAAACAAAAACATTACATATGTTTTTGTATTGTTACATATGTATTGTAATATTGTTATATTGTTAAGATAACTTAACAATATAAATATATGAATTAATCACATTCCATTTAGTTTTAATATTGTTTTTGGTTCATTTAATGGCACATTATATATATATTTTAAAGTTATGTAATTAACTACCAACATGCCACCTATCCAACTGTCTATTCATCCAACCACTTTGCCTCCATCCAGCTGTTAGTCCAACAAACCATTTAGCCATCTATCCACTCATCCAACATTTATCCACCAAACCATCCATGCATAATTTATTCAGGTATTTATCTATCAATTATACCATCCACAGACTAAACCATCTATCCATTCATGCACACATCCAACATTTCTTTATCCATCCAACATATATCCATGTCATTATCCATCTAATAGCTAATACCCATCCATCCATGCCCAAAACATCTTTTATCCATCAACCATCTTTCATCCAACTATATAATTAGCCCTTTAACTTTCTATCCATGCATCTGTGCATTTAACCATTTATCATTCATCCAATCATTGAACATCAATATTTCAAACCTTTTATCAATTCATGTATCCATCCATCTTTCATCCAACCATTTAACCATCCCTTGATTCATTCATATAATCCACCCACCCATCCACATAAGGAAAATCCTTCAAGAACTGGCTAACATGAAAACATAAGTTGCAAAGCCACAGGAAGTAAATCCTGCCATTGTAGATTAGTTTGTACTGACCAGGTAAATCTACATCCAACATTTCGTCTTGATGCATGCTCAATCATCCAGGTAAGTAAATCTCCAAAAGTTGATTCTGTTAATCTGGACGTAGCGTTTTGTGGAAGAAACGTTTCGTCACTCATCCAAGTGACTTCTTCAGTCTCAGCTGACTGCAGGTTTCCCCAATTTTATAAACAGTACATTTGCATAGTGACTGAAACCAGCCCACTGAAGGAACAATGGGCTGGGAGGTGAGTTCCTTAATCTTAATTAAGCAAATTCTCATGACCATTGATCAACAACCACTGACCAAAACCCCACTGATCAAAGACCACTGATCAATGGCCATGAGTACCATTCACAGAGAGTTGGGGAATGGCTGCAATCACAGCATTGCAAGATCATGCATCCAACATTCTTACTTTTTTAACTTTAGTTTGGGCTTAACCAACTCTTCTGAAAAAAAAAGAGTTCTTAAAGAACAAATATAAAAAATAAATCACTTTTAAGAGTTAGTCCATGTGTGTTTGTTACCTGGCCGGTGCTTTCTTCATGTGCTCTCCAACAAAGGTGGCGTTGGTCATGCCCATCAGAGTGTTGGCCAGTGAGATGACGGAGAGGAGGTGATGTGTGGTGACAGCCCTCGACACACCATATGTCCCCTTCCCCACTATGTCTGACAGAGATAGCTTCCGACCTGTCGCCAGGGAGAGCTGACGAAGCAAAGACTCCTGGGAAATGGAGTTATACAAACAGAAGAGGTTCTTATTTTCGGGTGCCCTGTTATCAAACTATTGATTTAGCTTCATGCTCAACGATATGTCTTTCATGGAAAGACACCTGGAACCCAGGTGATAACAGAGTTACCTTGAAGGTGGGCAACATGAGAGACATGTGGCCTCCTCTGGAGATCAAGCCGAAGGAGATAGGGCAGTGTGGTCTGAGCATGCCCAGTCGCTCCAGACAGATGGTGTCCAGCTGTTCGTTGAGACCCCAGGCATGCAGGCAGGACATGAAGAGCTTGGCTGTGTCCATCGTCAGGTTATACTCCAGCAGACTCAGAGACTTGGACTTCTCCTCGCGCCTCCTCATCTCCTCCTCTTCATCCTCATCTTCATCTAATAGGTGCTCCTTAATGGTCTCTTTCATGGTCTCCTTCACCTGGTTTTAGGAGAAATTATTTACATGAAAAACAAAAATAATACATTAATAAAAGACCTTCATTAGTGGATTTTTTTGTGTTTATGGACCTGTTTGAAGATTTTATGAGCCAACAAGGACCCGCCCTTATCGGCCCCAGCTTGGCTCTTCTGTAGCGTCTCCGGGGACACCAGCATGGGGTTCGGTCTCTGAGCTTCCTCCGTCAGCAGCTGGATGATCACCGCCTCCACGTCGAAGAACAGCACATGCATGTCAGGGTCCGTCAGGTTGGTCTTCATCGCCTGGACCACCAAGGCATTGTGGGAATATTTTGGTAAGTTGCCCTGGTGGAAAGACAGAGTTTCAGTTTCAAGAACATTAATTAGCAGGTAGCACTAACTATGAGAAACACGATTATTAGTTT